CCCGGGAGCTTTTGTACCTGTAAAATATTGTAATTAATGATTTGTTGTTAACGAGATCTACTGTAAGTTTTGTACTGTACTGGCTGAGGCTCTGCTTCCAAATAAACGGGAATAATTTAAATGTGCCCCCAAAAAATCCCTGGGGTTCGTTTGGGGACATCCAAAAAATGGGGACAAGGGACATTGGGGACACTAAGGAGGGGACAGGGGACGGAAATGGGGACATGGGACATTGGGGACAAGCAAAAATGGGGATAAAGGACACAGAAATGGGGACAGGGGACATTGGGGACATCCAAAAAATGGGGGGAAGGACATTGGGGACACCCAGGGGACATTGGGGACATCCAGGAGGGGATTGGGGACATCCAGAAATGGGGACAAAAGACACAGAAATGGGGACAGGGGACACCCAAAAATGAGGGGAAGGACATTGGGGACAATCAGGGAGGGACAGGGGACATAGAAATGGGGACAGGGGATGTTGGGGACACCCAGAAATGGGGACAAAAGGACATTGGGGACACTAAGGAGGGGACAGGGGACACAGAAATGGGGACAGGGGACACTGGGGACATTGAGGAATGGGGACAAAGGACAGAAATGGGGACAAAGGACATTGGGGACAGACCCAGGGGGAACAGGGGACATTGGGGACACCCGGGGGTACAAGGGGACATTGGGGACATTGAGAAATGGGGACAGGGGACACAGAAATGGGGAAAAGGGACATTGTGGACACCAAAAAATGGGGGGAAAAGGACATTGGGGACACCCAGGGGACATTGCGGACATCCGGGAGGGGATAAAGGACATTGGGGACAATCAGGGAGGGACAAGGGACACACAGAAATGGGGACAGGGGATGTTGGGGACATCCAGAAATGGGGGGAAAGGACATTGGGGACACACCCAGGGGGGGCAGGGGACATTGGGGACATCCAGAAATGGGGGGGAAAAGGACATTGGGGACACCCAGGGGACATTGGGGACATCCAGGAATGGGGACAAAAGACACAGAAATGGAAACTGGGGACACCCAAAAATGGGGGGAAGGACATTGGGGACACACCCAGGGGGGACAGGGGACATTGGGGACATTGAGGAGTGGGGACAGGGGACACAGAAATGGGGACAGGGGACACTGGGGACAACCAAAAATGGGGACATGGGACATTGGGGACACACCCAGGGGGGACAGGGGACACAGAAATGGGGACAGGGGACATTGGGGGTCTCCCTTAATGGTTTTGGGGGAACCCAGGACACATTGAGGACACTCAGGGGACACTGGTGACACCCCAGAGGGAACACAGGACACTGGGGACCCCCGGGGTTGGGGACACCCCTCCGTCACTGGGGGTCCCCCATGGATGGGAG